ACCCCCCCCCTGCCCCTCCCCCACCCGTAAGCAACTGACGGAGCCCTAGCGGTGTCCTAGAGAAAAGCACAGGCATACCCTTTCAGGGCCCTAACAAGAAAAAGGAATTGGGTATTCTCCCCCCACCACACACACACACATACCTGACTTTTTAGAACAACACCCCAGACTCACCGTTCTGGCTCCTGTGAGCTGTTGGAAATAATCTTGGATCTTCTCTGTGTTCCTGGTGACGGTGATATCCACAATGACCAGCGAATCCCTTTTGAAGGGGTACTGGCAGAGGAGCTCCTCGGCCCGCCTGCAGTAGGGGCAGGTGGGCTTCATGAACAGCACCATCCTCCCAGGCTTGATGTGGCTGTCCACAAACTCCTGGGCCGAGCAGGTGGGCTGCATCCTGGCGGGGAGCCTCCGGAGTAAGAACGGAGGCCTGTCAGCTAGCTGGCCCTCATTTAAAGGAACCTCCCTGGAGGAGGAGTTTGCCCAATTAGCCTCGCCTGCTTGATTTTTAAAGGGACAGCCCCACAGTCATTACACCCTGAGGTGATTCACCGGCCAGTGAATCCAAGGAATGCATACTTGCGTTTCATCAGCGGCTGGGCTCGGGGTGTCATTGTCTCAGACCTTTCGTGGTGCCTGCTCTTTGGCAGGAAGCAGGGTCAGAACACTCCCACAGCACAGACCAGCCCCAGGGAGGCGTCTGAGCCCCCAGTGACCTCCTGGCAGTGCCCTCCTCCTGTAAAATCTTTGTTTGCCGTGCGGGACAAATGGTTTTAAAAATGAGTGAGCAAAGAGAATCATTCAAGAAATAGGACGGGTTGAAATCTCCTTACAGGAAGTGAAACTAAAATTGTGACTGGTCTTGAGGTTGCTCCCAGGGCTGTTTTCTTAGCCTGCACAGGGTGTTTTGTTGTGGTGAGTGTTTCGATGGAATGATTTTACAACATTTAAAAAATCTGGACATTTCATAAAAGAGTCTGGTCTTGTAGTTCTCTGAGAAGTCAGGTCTGACGAAACAGCTTGTATTCCTTTGTGCAGCAGCTGTGCCAAGTAGCTGTTGTCCACCTTGGGCAGGATAGTGCTCTGCCGTGGGGTGCCTGCCCATGCTCCCCGGTAGGCAGGCCAAAGGCTGCTGGCCCAGGTCAGCTCTGACCCCCCCTCTGTTCCGTAAGTTACATAAGCAAACCGAAGAATAGCCATCTCCTTTCAAAGTGAGTCATCCTTTTCCACAGGAAGTTTTGAGGCAGAATAGTTAGATGTTAGAATTTTTTATTTTTCTCCACAAGTGGGAAAAGGGAAACTGAGGCATATGGTTAGAGACAAACAAGCTAAGCAATTTACAGCTGAGCTAGTAAATCATAGATCTTATCTTACTTTCCCAACCAAGGACGCTGGGAGCAAATAATTTACACCTCTCCTCCCTAACCAGAGAGTAAATAGCTTAAGTCACAGCTGGTCCAGGAGATAGATAACAGAGACCCCATTAGTGTCATTAGAATAAACAACAACAACAAAAACAATCAGACTAAAACAAATCCAAGATAAGGCAAAGCTGACCAGAAAATGACCCTAGTCCCTCTACACACTCATTTTGGTATATTAACATATTAAAAACCATGCCTAGAAAGCCGATGAATATGCTGCTGAAACCTTCCCACCTGCAAGAGAGAGAAAAGCCCTTAAGACAAAGGATGCCAGCTGGGGGTCTCTCTGGAGCAGGGCCAGGCCTTAGCTCAGGTGTGAACTTTTATTTTCTTCCTCCTAAATTCTCACTGTCCCCAGCTTTAAGAAATATACTCTTAAATCCACCTGGACTCTGTTGTGGCATCTTTCCTGCCGGCTGGCCCAGTCCCCATCCAGTAACAGTTTCACACTGAAAACTAGAGTATCCTCAGAGAGGTGTGGTGGGTCGACCTGACTTCTCCACGGACTGCCCTGTCTGTGGACTCCCAAGCCTCGTGTGATTTCTCCAGGGAAGAAAAGTGACTCCTGCAAGCCGCTCTAATTGTCACTGGAATTAACTGGAAAAATGGGAAACGCCGGTTCTGAATCACAGAGACGGCGCTAAGAAGTGAGATCTCTGTTAACAAAACGAGCGTGTGGGGCCAGCAGGCCCAGGGCGCTTCCTGGTCAGGGCTTGGGACTTCTCAACCCTTAGCTTCATCTCCCTCCTGAATAAGCTCTTGGGAGAGTCTGGGCCTTCCCTCTTCTTTTTCTCCCTTTAGCTTGGTCTCTTGTGGCCCATCCCTCCCTGAGGCCAGGGCCTCCTCAGAGCTGCCTCCTCTTGCCCGCTCCACCACGGTCATCAGCACACCTTGTATCTGGCTGCCCCTCCGAGCCTTGCTCTCCTCAGTGTCTGGGTTCACTTCTCCCTCTCTGTTGAATCTTTTTCCTCAGCCTGTGACTGCTCAAGTCTCTCCCTTGTTAAAAACCACAAACACCACCTTCTATCTCATTGGGCCCTGCTTTCCTGCCTCCATTCTTTTTTCTTAACAGACATGTTTCATGAAGTTGGCTATTGTGTTTGTTCTCTGGCCTTTTCTCGCTTCCCGCTCGGGCCTCACCTCTGCAATCTGTCATTCTTTTCATGCTTCCTGCTGGGATCCCTGTGGCCAGCGTCCATCGTGCTCAATCACCTTGTAGTCAAGTGTGCTGACTCAGATGAGCTCAGAAGTGTAGGTGTGGAGTTTCTGGTAAACTGGCGGAGTGAACCTCCAAAGAGTGTTTGCACAGGGTCCCCTGAGGGTTTGGGTACCTGGGACAGAGGCTGGGTGTGGAGGGCCACAGGACACCACTGCGGAAGGACTTTTCATGAGGGACTATGTGCGACATGGAGCACAAACAGATGGCAGAGACGGGGTGTCTGCTCCGTTTCTCAGAGAATGCTGTGGCTTCCGCTGAGTGGAGAATTCAGAGTGTAGATCGCCCTGCTGCATTGGCATAGCGAGGGTTGATGGCGTGGGCCCATCAAAGACGTGCTGGTGCATCAGGATCCAGACTCCTCTAGGAAGGACCCCTGAATACATATGTCTTTTCCTCGTTGGATGGGGTGCCCCTCAGCTGAGCTCACACAGGGCTGTGCCCGACTCATTCCATACCATCGCTCTTTCTTATTCCCTTTCTTGCACATACACGGAGCTCCTTGAGGGCGGGGAAAGGGCTTTCATTCCGGTATTATCAGAGGCCAGATACACACCGGCCCTTATCCATCCACCCCACACACACTTACTAACCCACCATTCTGGGCCAGACACAAAGATCAATCAATCACATGCAGTCCAGTCATTAGGAGATTGTAGTCTAGTTAAAGTTAGATGAATTAAGGATTTTCTAGCATGATCGCAGCCATTTCTTCCCTTTAGGCAGGCTGCTATAAGTGAATAAGCTGCGTTGCCAGCAGCCTTCAGACGCATGAAGATGCTGGCTGGTGGCTGTGTCTATTTGCAGTCTGGTCTTGTTTGAGGCTCTCTGTCTCTGCACCTCTCCAGATTTGACCAGGAGGCCTACCCCAACCCTACCTGAAGATTCGAACTCTGGCTTCGACCACAGAGGACTTCTGACTGTGACCCCAGGTGTGGTAACTCTGGTCAGACTGTTTCCTCACCTCCCACCTCTAGGTGGGAGAGCTCCATGCCGAACGCATTGGCACTGACAGCTACCATTTACTCTGCACCCACCGGGTGCCGGGTCAGCGCCAGGAGCCTTACACACATCCTGTCCCCGCCTCACGGCATCTTGGAACGGTAGATACTTTAGGTCCCTAACTGACCAGAGGAATGAGGAGAGAGGGTCCCTGACTTGAAGGACCTGAAATTCAACCAAGGTCAGGGGTGGAGGCTGCTTTCCAGTGAGCCCCCATATACCTGGAAGGGCTTTCTTGTCGCCTCCTTTCCTAAGGTCCTGACTCAGTTTTGATGTGGTGTGTCACCCACTAATGCTGGAGACCTGAAGTCCCCAGGTCCCTCTGAGGATTCTTGCTGTCACGTAAGTTCCCGACTGTGTCCTTGAGCTCTCCAGGTGTCCCGCCACATGCAGATCTTATTCTTGCTCTTGGCTCATGGGAGGGAATAACCCCTATTCCCCTTCTCTCCTTCACCTAATCACATCAGGCAAACCAAACTAAGCCCTTTGTTTAGTTTGAATTTGTTAGGGACCTCTTTATTGGGGGCATCACAAAGAAAGTGGCATATGTTCTCTCTCCCACCCCTCGGTAGGGCATCTCACAGGCATCAGACGGTCTTCTTTGGGATGGGCGTGGTTGGGGGAGATGGAGGGTGAAGGATTCCCCTGGGGCTGTGACTGGATTTCCTCAGTGGGGTCCTGGGGTGTTTCGAGGGAAAGCACTTGGACCTACATGTCAGAGCATCGTGTGAACAAGCATCATATAATACCCGTTTTTGTCGCTCCAGCCTCTAACCATGCTTATTGATTCAAATATCTTAGGTAGAAAGGAACTGGTTGTGATTAGAGAAGTTTGCTTTTCCTGGCTGTTGGGAGGTTGGGTGTGGGAAGAGGCTCAGTAGCCCAGGGCTCAGGGCGAGTGTCTCTGAGATTCCCCCGGTCTTCCCTCGGGGTTGCAGGCTGGCCGCAGCCGCTCTGAGCATCTGTCCTCACACACTGTGTTGTAAGGTAGTAAGTGGGCAGAGGCGGGCACAAGCAGGGCGTTCCTCCTCAATGCTTTTTCCAGGCAGACTCCCCTGATATTCTTGGGCTGTACCTGCTTCACATGCTCACCCCGAGGCCGGGGTCTCCCTCCCCTGGATGTGTGCTTGATCCCTGGGTTCTCTGGACCAGCAAGACCAGACAGCACACTTGTTATAATTGGTGAACCTACACTGACACACCATCACCCAACGTCCACAGTTTACTTTAGGGTTCTCTCCCGACGGAGACCATGCTATGGGTTTGAACAAATGTGTGATGGCGTGTACCACACTACACAGTAGCTGCCCTCAGAATCCTCTGTTCTCTACTTACTCATCTCTCCCTCCCAGGAAGAGGTTTCACTTTCCCATGTTGTACGTTCTTTAGTGCATTTTTATCATGTACATGTATGAGTTTTACGTGTAATTGTTTACTTATTTGAAGTAGTGATTGGGCCGCAAGGAGGTGGAGGAAACCAGTGCAGAGCAGCCTCTAAAGAACTTTGCCAGGAGAAGGGCCCACGATAGGCTGAGAAAGAGTCTGTGGCATGAGGGAGCATGAGCACTTTTTATTTGCAAGGGTAGCAACCACGTGAAGGAGGGAAACACAAGCGGGAGAGAGGAAGCCTGATGGAGCGAGGTCACAGAGAGCCGAGGGTGGGGGACAGAGAGCGGGTCAGGCACGGTGTTGACCTTGGCGAGAAGGAGGAGAACATCTTCAGAGGGAGGGTCAGGGTGGTGGAGACACGTGGAGAGGGGCTTCTGGGGCTGAGGAGGACAAGCCAGGAGACAGAGGACTCTAGACTCTGACTCGTGGCTGTAACAGCCACATGCGAGCACCAAGCTGGAGAGGAGGCAGGTGAAGCAGCAGAAGATAAAGAGAAGGGGGAGAGGTTCATGTCAAAATTA